ATTGCCTCCTCCTCCCCCAATCCAAGAGCAGCTAGGATTGAGAGGAGGCAAGTACAATAAAGGTCAGCCAGGTTATTTGCGAGGTGGCAGCCTTGCCCCTCTTGATGGGGCATGAAGCGTGAAGCAGCTATTTAGTTCAGCAAGTGGATTGTAATGATGTTGGGAACAACATGTTGGTTTCCTTGCTGTGTGTTCTTGGCCTTTGTGATTCTTGTCTTGACTCTCAGACTGGTTTCTGTACCTTGAACTTTGGATCATGCCTCTGGAACTCTGGACTTGCCTTGCCTTTGCACTGTGGACTGGCACTGGCTTCTTTTGAGTAGCCTGTAGAACTCATTGGGGGTGTGATGGTGTTGGAGAAGGAAATTGCTGGAGAATATTAATTTGGGCTTGGAAGCCTTAATAAAGACTCGTAACACGTGAGTGAGTGAGTGAGTGAGTGAGTGAGTGAGAGAGAGTGAGAGTGAGAGTGAGAGTGAGAGTGAGTGTGTGAGAGAGAGAGAGAGAGAGTGAGAGAGAGAGAGAGAGAGAGTGAGAGAACGAACAGCACAGTTCAATGTTAATAATAGAACTAAATTTTATTATGCTGCTTGGAATTAATCTATTCATCTATCTACTCTGAGAAAATGAACTTAAGAGGCTATCTCAATATTTCAAATGAAGGCGTCTCTGAGATGGTTTTACTTGAAACAAAAACATAATAATTATGTTATTGAGCTGTAGTTTCATGACACAAGAAAGAATTAAGATAAAATCTTAAATAAGGAACCTCTGATTAACCCTAACTTGACCCCACAATTTGGCACTTTTATCCCTATTTGTTTATGCAAGCCAAGACCTGATTTATAAAGTTTGTTTTACTGGCAGATGAGCTGGCAGGAAAATTGTAGAGAAACATTCATTTTTAAAAAGATGTGTAGAGGAGTAAATGTTGACTTTTAATTTCTCTTTTGTGTGGTCTGACACCGTCAGAAACTTAGGTATGCATAAATGACAAATTGCTATTTCTAAAAACCTTACAATTTACAACTGGCTAAAATTTCATCCAAATGCAATGGTGCTCAAAATCTTCCTTTCAAAATGGCCACAAGAAGTCAAGCTATATAATTAAGAAGAATAAATTTGCTCTTGTCCCACGTAATATATCATATGAGCTTGTTTCCATGTCTTTTATTAATAAAACATGAACAAGGATGGACTCCTGTAGGTCAGTAGGGTAAGCAGTACAAACGCCTGAAGACAATCTAAAATGAAAACTATAATTTTGGCTCTCAGCTGCCGTATTTTAAAAACCAAAGTACCAAAAACTGAAGCTATCAACATTAATGAATAATAGTGTATGACTCCCTTTAGGCATCCAAGTAAATATATATCAAGTACTCACAATGCAACATTTGAGCAAAATATACCAGGATGCATCATAAGATCGTGATGGAATTGATCTAAATGAAAAAATGAACATTTTTCAACAGATAACTCTGATAAAGCCAATTCAGAAGTACCCCTGATCTTATTGGTGATCCTTCTTGCTTCAAAACCTAAGTTGTTTTAGATGTCCTTTTTTTACATATACAGTAAAAACTGAAGAGAAGACAAATACATCCCTGGCTGGAGGCCATTTAGGGAAAAATAGTATCTGATCAAGTGCAACTATAGGTTATGAGTCTATATTCCCTACATGCTGGATTTCTACTTTTTTCAAAGCTGTTAATGAAGTCTTCCTCTATACAATAGACCAGGGCTATCAAACTTCCAGCCCGCGGGCTGGATGCATCAAACACAGGCCACACCCACACCTGGTTTAGTGAAGGGGGAAAAAGTCTGGATATATCACGTGATGACAACATGACGATATGAGTTTGACACCCCTGCAGTAGACCAACCTCTATAACCTTCCATCTAGCATGGCTAATGATGATACTGGCTAGTGATTATGAGAATTAAAACCAAAAACATCTAGAGGGAACCAGATTAAAGAAAGCAGAACTAATTCCAAGACATATATAGCTGCACACTCAGAGGTTATCTATTGCATCCCCTCTTCTCCCAAACATCCATACAAATAAATCTCTTCAGTCTAGATTCAGTACACACAGATATAACTAGGTTCCTTCTGTTGTCACTGCATCCAGTGGAGGGATTCAAATAATTTAACAACCGGTTCTCTGCTCTAATGATTTCTTCCAACAACCAGTTCACCAAACTGCTCAGAAACTTAACAACCAGTTCTCCCGAAGTGGTGCGAACTGGCTGAATCCCTCCACTGATCTATTATATTCTTCAGATTAATGAAATAATTTTTCTTTTATTGACTGATTCAGTAAGACCAGATTTAGGCAGAATAACTTTATATTATCTCTTTACAAGGATTAGAGGAAAAGTTTGCTATGACACACATGGGCCAGACAGAGACCAATGATACAAAGAAGACAAGCTTCAAAGGCAAACTCTGTCTTGACTAAACCCATTACATTAGTCATAGAATATATTTAAACATATGTTCCAGCCATATTAGTTCTATGAATTTGCAGTGATCCCACAAAGAACAAATGGGACACAGTCCATAATTTACCTTGGAGTTGCAGCCTTATGCATTTGCAAATAGCTTCCACTGAATATACATCTTTGCACAAATGGGATCAAGCAATTCTCTTCAACATGCATGATTTAGAGAAAACAATGTTGGCCAGACCAGAAGAGGAAAAAATTCTGGATTTAATTTCTCACTGGACAGATTCCTTCTATATAGTCTTGATTTTTTTTCTTTATAGGCTTATGAAGTGTTAATGGCCTATCTCACAGAATTAATGAACAAAGAAAGAGAACAACTACCATTAAGAAGTTTGCATAGTACTTGTACTAAAAATTCCTAACCTGTCAAATCTCATTTCCTATCTCAATTTATACTAAGGTTGACCTAGCAGTTGATTTACTCATTTAACATGTATAGCAGAAATCCCTTTGTAAACTTCTATAAATTACTCAAAACCTGATTGTGTCTCAGCTTCCCATGCTTTCAATTATTTTAATTGCAATATAATCTCTTTAGGGCTGTATATTTTGCAAAACCCTCATCCATCTATCCAATCTAGTGTCACATTTCTGGCTTCTATTTAATAAAGTTCGCTTTGCTCTTAACTCTACCAGAACTTAGGTCTGACTTTGCAGAGCTCCTTCTGTCCATCTCAGGTTTCGACTTCTATGGAAGAAAATCTCCTCTAGGGATGACTTAATATCCTGATCTAAAACTACTGAAAAGTGCTTGGTCATGCTAGAGCAACACTCAATGAGCACATTTAAAACCACACACAGAGACAAATAAAAGTCAACATGCAAGACTCTGAAATATCCACAATGGAGGAATGGTTGCTAAAAATAACAGAATTAAAATGGAAGACAAAATTGACCTGCTTGATTAGGAAAGACAAATAATCATATTTAATGACTGGAAATCCCTTATGGACTTTTTGCAAAAGAAGGGGAAAATTAACTTTTTATTAGGAAGGGTAGATTTTATTAAGTAGGAAATTATTATGTAAATTTAGAAAGAGATGACAAAATATAAAAGCATCTATAATAACTCCTAAGAAGACTGGGTGCCATTTGTTGTAATCTTTTTTTTATTCTTTTCTGTATTCTTTTTCCTATTTTCTTTCTTATCTATCCTCTATTTCTTTTCTAAAATTTATATTGTTTTTATCTTGTTAAACATTTCCTAAATAAAATTATAAAAAGAAACACAACTCAATGTACTTGTAGAGGCACTTGACTATTAACATGTGGAAGATTAATGTTAAGTATACATTTTATGGCAAGTTTTCCTAATAATATCTAAACTGGCCATCAAGAGGGAAATACGTAACTAAGATTAATATAAAAGCAAACAGTATCTCAATAATTTGCAAAAAAGTTCCCACAAATGACACAGATGGCTGTTTCCAAATTCACTTCCAATTTTTTACAGAGCAGGGAATCCAATGATTTCTCCCTCCCCCCCCCCTTTGCTACTGTGTTCATGGAGAAGCCGCTGGAGTACCCATGGTGGGTTGAACTGGCAATCTGCAAACTGTGGACTGCCACTCTTCCAGTGGAAAAGGGCGGGCATCCAGTCCTTCTGCCTAAAACCTAGGATTTGAAGTCTTCTTCTCTTCTACCTTAGTCCTATTTATCCCCACTGCAAACAGATCATCTTTTTCTCCACAGTAGGTCTCCAACTAGTCAGAGTCTTACAAGACTATTCAAACTGTAGTCTCCTTTCACTTTGCTGAGCTTGATCCCTAATGATCTCAAAGACGTGTCCATGTAGTAGTTTTCTTGGCAACTATAGGGAAATAACTTGTCATCTTCTGGGACGAGAATGGAGGAGACTTCCCAGTCTAGGTTTCAGTCCTAGCTTTCCATTCACTAGGTGCTAAAGCTGTGGTGGCGCAGTGGTTAGAATGCAGTGTTGCAGGCTACTTCAGCTGACTGCTGGCTGCCTGTAGTTTGGCAGTTTGAGTCTCACTGGCTCAAGGTTGACTCAGCTTTCCATCCTTCCGAGGTGGGTAAAATGAGGACCCAGGTTTTTGGGGGGCAATGTGCCGACTCTCTAAACTACTTAGAGAGGGCTGTAAAGCACTGTGAAGCAGTATATAATTCTAAGTGCTATTGCTACTACCCAGGCTTGAGCCTGCTTAGCTTGGAGTCCAGACAAGGTCAGCTAGATGCCAATCACTAGTTTAAAATCATATGATAAATACATTCCTAAATTATAGTATGAACGGTGAAATTTTAGTTCCAATGTCAGCTGAATATGAGGCCATTTGATGGTCATAAATAAGTCTCTGGCTTCTCTCACTTTATTGCTTGCTTGCTTGATTCAATGAGAATCAATAGATTGCTCCTCCTTTCAGAAGCCACCATGAAGAAGGTCCATGGGGAGCAATTTCATTTTTTCCTATGTAAATAATCAGTACTATTACAAATACCTGACTGTAAACAATCAATCTTAAGAGCATTACCTCCTTAACATCCATATTGGTTTGGTCTAGCCGAAGGGAGTAAAGGGTGTCCTTTCCTCCAATGAATAGGCGATCACGGTATTCATCTAGGTACAGGGAACGAAAGTCTAAATTTCCCCGCTGACCAAGAAACAGGACTGAGCGGTTAGTGGCCAGGAGATCTAAGAGACAGGAATAAAATGACAAAAACAAAAAAGTTAGGACAAATATATTGAAATAGAAGATGTTCTCTGTACCACATAGCTTGGGTAAGTCATTGCTTTGCTTGGCACAATTCAACAAAAGAGTGTAGCAACAAGTAAGTTATAGCAATTGGCTGTGAATTTGCTGCGATTAAAGTCTCATTCCTTCCAACAGAATTTTGTCATGTGTTTTTGCAAATATAGGATATGGGCCAATTGCTGAATATTTAGATAGACACAAAAATTATTCTATAGCAGTGATGGCTAACCTTTTTCTCATCACGTGCCAAAAGTGGGGGGAGCTCAGGGGCATTGTGCATATAATATATGCTAATAATGCTATGCGTGCGACACCCCTCCCACCCCCACTTTTGGTGTGTGATGGACCTATTTTTCCTCCTCCCCAAGCTCCAAAGTCTTTCTAGGAGTCTAGGGAGAGCAAAAACAGCTTCCCACCCCCTCTGGAGGCCCTCTGGAAGATTCAGGAGGCTTCCATGATGCCTCCAGAGGGCAAATAATGGTCCTACGGGAAACCCAGAAGTTCAGGAATGGTGTTCCGGTTTACCCGTAGGGCCATTTTTCACCCTCCGGAGCCTTCAGGTGGCTTCCCTAAAGCCTCCAGAGCATGAAAAACGGCCCAACTCACAAACCGGAAGTCCATTCCTGAACTTCTGGTTTGCATGTTGGGTTGTTTTTTTGCATTGGGTAGTAAAAAAATTTGAAACCCACTACTGGGTCTTAGAATAGAGCAATCAGCCACATTCAAGAATTTCTGCCCTCTCTGCTCTCCTCCACAGAACCATCTACAAAAAGGGAGCCAAATGGACCAAAATGGCAGCCATCAAAGCCCCTACGAGTGTATGTACATCAATCATATATATGTAGCAAGAGATCAGGCTTCAATCTGCAGTTCTGCCCACTATTTTAGCCCCCTTATTCCTCTTGCAGATAATACCATAAGAACAAGGTGGATGGACTCTGCTATAGTGGCAATGAATGCACCATTGGGAGTCTTGAAAGAACAGATTAAGAATAGATTCATCATGGAAAAAAATCTATATGGGTAGTTGCTAGCAGTTGAAAATGATTTTATGGCACATAAAATTAATCAATCAATCTGGCTATGTAAGGATGCATTGGGGAATTTTCTTTCTGGATTTTTCAACCTTAGCCTATCTTTTACTGGCTTCTCCAGCTGCATCAAATTTAATTCTATTCTGCTTAGTTTTTTGTTTTTTTACCATTACCATGTTGACGGGCAGGCAGTCCTGTGCCTCTTTACATAATTTTTCCAACATTCCTTTGGGTTGGAAAGAATAAAAAATAGGTGGGAAAAGAACTGGAATAGAGAAGAGCAGGGCTGGAGACTGGAATGCTCAATAGAAACAATCCAAATTATAACCTTTTCTTGTGGTCCCATTTTGCAAAGAAAGATATACACACATGCATGCAACTTCCTAATTTTTTGTGCTATGAAATGAAGAGAGATCGTATTGTTAATTTTCTAGTGCAAGTCAAATGACAAATACATTTCTTATATAAATCAGTGCATGCCAGACAACAGTGACAGATTCAACTAGTATCTCAGAAAATCTGCTAAATCCCATTTTTTTTAAAATGTATTTTTAAAAAAGCAATATAATCTTGTAATGTGTTATTCTTATTCATTAAACATCTTTCTTAGTTTGAAAAAGCACACACTTCTGAAACTGAGAACCACAAAATCTGAGAATTTTCATACTTGGCATAAACTCCAAGAACTGTGGAGTCCTTGGTGTTCTCTGAGCTTCATTCTAAGAAAACTCCAACTTAGTTGTAACCAAACTCCAAGAACTCTAGTTTCAGGGAGGGTGTAGGGCCTGGAAATTGTGTTCTAACATCATCTGAGTAAGACCTAAGAAAGTACTGCAAGATCATGACAAATGCCAAAACTAATCTCTTTCAATTTCACAAACTTCACAAGTTTCAGGGACAGAAGGGGAGGAGACGAATTATAAAGGAGGGTTTTTCTAAATCAATTACTACAAGAGTTTCTGCCCTTGATATTCAGTGTACTGAATTTGTCAAGAAGCAAATGGTTTTATGTCAAGGAAATTGGATACAGTATAAACAATCTTGGTTCAGATTTCTACTTTGGTTAGGAGGAAGAAGGGGTGGCTACAAAAATAATATTTGTTACATCCACCTTACCTCAGCAGCAATATGGCTGGTAGAAAGAATGGGGTTTAAACCTGGAAAATTAACATCCATGCTTAGGAGGGGCCAATTAATTCTTTGACAGCTTCCCAAGAAATTTTTCTAGCTAGGAAAGCTGGGTCCTCCCTCTGAAAGGCTGGAAGGAGTTGCCATTATCTGGGAGTGAAGACAGAAGGATTCTTCAAGGCTGATAAAAAGGCTAAAGGATGAAATATCTATAAAGCAGTCAATTATGTGACAAAGGATTAACTCCCTGACAGTTGCAGAATGAGTCTTATCTGTGGCTGCTGAAAGCTGGAGTAGATTTGAGGTCTTGGAACACTGTGGAGAAAAATCAGGAAAAGAAATGTGGAGAGAAAGATGAAAGAAGAGCAAAAAGAGAAACTAGAAATATTGACTAAAACCCCTTTTAGGTAGAATATTTGTAGTGCAGAGTTGTAATGAGGAGTCCTTGGTGCTCTCTGAGTTCAGATTCAGAAGTTTATTTGTATGCCGCCCTTTTCCCTGGGGGGACTCAGGGCGGCTCACATCCGAAAGGGAAAGGGGAAACAGACTTTTACATATACGAAAACACATAATTAAAAGAAAACACAACATTCATACCATTCGGGAGGGTACAATCTTAGCCCCAGGCCTGGCGGGATAGCCAGGTTCTAATGGCTGTGCAGAAGGTCTGGAGAGTGGTGAGGGTACGAATCTCCATGGGGAGATCGTTCCATAGGGTCGGAGCTGCCACCGAGAAGGCCCTCCTCCGCGTGGTCGCCAGTCGGCATTGACCCGCAGATGGAACCCGGAGGAGGGCCAATCCGTGAGATCTAGTGGGTCGTGTGGAGGTAATTGGCAGTAGGCGGTCTCTCAAGTATTGTAATATAATAATATATATGT